AATTGGAGAGCATGCCCCTAAGGGTACTCCTTTATTAGAAGTGATTTCAAGATGTCAACATCCATTTTTGATTCAACAGCGGAAAAACATCAAACATCTCATGCTTCACTCATCCTAATGTGAAGGTATGATCATCCTAGTGGTTACTAAAATAAAGCTAGATCACAAGGTTCATCTGCAGAGATTTTCTAAAGATACAAATATAAAGGAAAATGCGTAGGATGCCCGCTAAGGTATTTCCATTCCTGGCGATTAGCCGAGTTGGAAGACCAGAAAAAGCTGAATAGTTTTTGCGGGTCAAATCGTTTAAAGCAAAGATTCCGTTGGTGTTCCATAAGCCCTATTCAGTCCTATTTTATTCACTCTTAATAACCTACCTACCATACCAAGGGAATAAGGTAAATCCAGTTTGATCGACCTTACCAAGAAAATAAAAAAGTATTTCCTCTCCTTATCAGTCGAGTCTAGTATCTTCTCCCCTCTCCTTCTCTCCTTTCAGTCGAGTTATTTAAACCTCTACAACACAACGCGGAAAACTGCTTTTGCCCTACTTTGGAGCCCCGGAAGCGGGGGAAAGCAGCTACTTGAAGTTTAAGAAAAGGTTTCGCCCCGCAGTGAAACTTCTAAAGCTTATTAGCACAGAAAAAAGGCTTTGAATACCCTAGTTTATAAGGGAATCACCAATCCCTCTTTAAGCTATCGTTATAAACTACATTCATCAGTTGTCCAAGGAGGCAAACATGGAATGGAGATAGAAAGATTCAGTGGGTCTATCCGCAACTATAGTTGAGTTGAGTTGGTTGATTCAATCCCCCAACCAGAGGGTCGCTTAGCAAAGTGCAAAAAGAAAAAGGAATCGAAAGCGAAAGTATGAATATCATAAAGCAGCAGCTGCTCCCCTAGCCTTATAAAGAGCTAGTCCCGAAGTAGCAACAGAGCTCTTCTTCCCTATTAGTCTATTCACTATGGATGCTACTAACTAGCAATGTATATAGGTAAGCTACTAACCTTATGGATGATATCTACTCTTTGCTGTATAAGTCTTTCTCATTCCTCTTCTCTTAATAAGCCTAGCAGCTTTCTTTTCTTCACTGGGAAATATCCATAGGAATAAGAAGATCTGAAAATCCCTCTACAACGGGAAAGCCACGGAAAAGCCGTTTCACCACCGAAGCCTTAGGCCAATGGGAAATGCCAGAGTAGAAGGGCGAAAGCTCCACTTCAGGGACTACGATACAAAACTTTCTTTCTTCCAAGACCCCTTTCTTATGATGAAAGCAGGGAATCGTATTCCTCATTCAATAGAGTGATCTACGGCTTGATAGAGGAAATGCAAGACCTGAGAGTTCAAGTTCAATCCCATCACTTCATGCCAGTCTTGATCTTACCTCGATTCCGACAGAGACAATCCCGTATTCGCCGGCAGACAAGGAAAGTTTTGATGCAAGGAAAGGAAGTACAGATTCAAACTAAGATTCCGGATAAGTCTAGATTGAATCCTCCTCTCCTCCTAACTTGACTGATAGCTTGAAGCTAGAGGGCTAAGTGAACTATGAATTAGTTGAATGAACAATAGGCTAATAGGTCCACTGCACACTTACTCTCTCAATCTTGACTCCCTCGGTGCACACTGATTGAAGATAAGAGAGCGGTCCGTAGGATCCGTAGGAGATGACTTACAGCCACAACGGAATTACAAAGCGGATAGCTCATTTCCTTTCCTCAGCTCATAGAAATGAACTGGCGGTTAGAATAAGACTGATTGATTCGTCTTCTTCGGGCAAGTACCAAGACAGAGATGATATTGACCGTTGATTCTACGCACAGTTTCATTCCCCCTCTTATTCATCTCTCTGAGTCTTAGATTATCTGTGCTGTGTCACTTTTTTCGAAAAAGGATGGACCCTACTGAAGGAATTCTGTCTTTATTCACTAGTCATCTCGTATCTTAGCTGAACGGTTATCGGCTTCGCGAGACCATTCCTAAGACAGGATATTCTAATTGGAAATGTGCTGACTCCTTTTCTTACACAGCTGATCTTGGACTTGCAAGACTGATTGCAACCGGTCTTCCTGATTAGCTATTCTTCCTTGCTCTAAGCTTTGTACGCTCATGAGTAGCACTAGATCTTACTTCTATAACATTGTGAAATCACTTTATATTCATTAGAGTCAAAGCTGTGCGCTTTGTCAAGGCTATGGTCATGTTCTTTATGAAGTTTGCCCTAGGAGCTTTATATGATCATGTCTGAGGTTCCTTGGATCATTCCATTCTCTCACAGTTCGTCGATGGGATCCCGATTGCAAGCCGTCGTTGGACACTCTGATTTGACTTGGATCCGGTTCCCCGAATGGAATCTTCTGTCTTAGAATGACGATGTTCTCAACATCTTTGCATCATGTATGGGTACTCAGGTTTGAATAGATAGAAAGTATCACTACCCGTGGGCGCTTTTATAAGGTTTGTATAGGGCTATAAGTAGGCCCTTTGCTATTGCTATGCTATAAGGGCTGCTCGCCTTTCTACGGCTTGGCTTCGCTATTGCTCCTATGTAGTGGTCGACCTAAAAACGTGGTATTCCTGCCATACCAGAATGCCTATTATCTAGTGCTAGAAGCTTCGCCAGAAGCAAGCAAGATGAGGGTGCTCTGCTTCGTAGACAAGGCTCGTTCCGTACTTGACTTACGAGCTCGTGTAGTACTCGCCCCTATCTCTAAAGGGGCTTATGCACTCCCACTCGCTGTCTACTAAACGAGCGTTGGAGCGAGCGAGCGAAGCCTTGCTTCCCCCTCACCCTACTCTTTTCTTTTCGCTTAAGCTCCCCCCGATTAATTTTTTGAATACCCGAGAACCATAATCTTTCCTAGAAACAGCTTCTACGACGATAGGCATAAAGGCATGATTCGTTCCACAAATCTCACTGCACTGACCATAGTAAACTCCTTCTCGTTGTACCGAAATAGAGGTCTGATTTAAACGACCAGGTACAGCATCACATTTGACACCTAAGGAAGGTACAAGCCCAACTATGAGGTACATCAGCAGATGTTACAATAATACGTAAATGAGTTTTGGCTGGTACAACCACTCTATTGTCCACTTCTAATAAACGTGATTGACCCAATTCTGGATCATCTTCTGGAATCGTATAACTGTCAAAAGTGAGAGACTGTTCATCGGAACTGTTATAGTCCGAATACTCATAAGGTTGGGTCGACGCCCGCCTCCCCCCAAACTGTACTTGCAAGTTTCCCCCGCAAAAAGCTCTCCACGCCTACTCTTAGAAAGAACACTTTTTTTCTTTAGTTAGCCGACCGTAAGACCTAAGGGTAATAGAAGGCCGGGGAAAGTTGATTGGCAAGAGGGAACCGTTTCTCACCCAGGGTTGGCCTTATGGAACCGAAAAAGACCTGGTTCCACACATATGAGACAGGCAGAAGGTATGGGACGAGCAGTTTATTGAAGAGCGAATTCGATCCGTCTTATTTGTTCGATAAATTCACAGTGGAAAGGGATGCTAGTCGGCTCGGCGAAGTTGTAGCCAGATCCAGAGTGATTCCTCACCTATCCTGTAAGGGGCCTCGAGTATAGATTCTCTATGCTCATGTAAACGGCCGCCGTAGATATAAAAGGATCCATCCATAGGCCTGACCGGATATCGTTTGTCCAAAAACCAAGTAGGTTTTGAGTAGTAGTTCATGAGACCTCGAATTCCCACGTTCCAGCGCCAACATAAACCAACTCTAGCTGAGAAGTTGAGGGACGTAGTTGCTCGAACAAAGTGAGAGGTGAGAATAGACTCGACTGATAGGGAGAGGTACAAAGTGACTCGACTGAAAGGAGAGAAGGAGAGGGACCCTTCTTCTTTTTTTTTTAAGAAATAGAATAAAGAAAGAGATAGTATATATCCTGTATCGATCATAGGATCACTCTATGAATAGGTAAATTCTCTGTGACCTCCCACCGTTCACGACAGCCCTTGCTTCTCGCTGCGAACGGCTCCTCGGTGGAGGAGTAGAAGCGCTGGTCCCCTTCGGTCAACTTGCTTGTGCCTGCTGTTACCTACCGTAGGACCTCCGTCCCCGAAGCGAAGAAAGAGGTTGTCCTCTCCCAGCCCAGTAGTTCCGCAACTACTACCGTGGTTGTTGCCAACGGGGATCCCCCATTCCGAAAGGTTACTAGGCCGGCCGTTAGGTCCAAAGTTGTATACCACTGCTATGGTGCCGATAGATTCACTACTTCAGCGCCGTTATCGGACATTGCAGGCTGAGCATCTATTTCTCGTATATCGTTCCACACCGAGAAGAGGGATGTGTACCTCCAGCAACAACAAGAATGGAACCATAGGCTCTTATGCTGGGAGCATTTCGGGGTATAGGTCTAACCACCTCAACTCCCCGTTTCTGGCATGCTATAGTTATGAAAGTATCTCGACGGCGGGAATGGGAGATTACCGGTCAGCCAGATGCTTCGCGAACCATATGAAACTTGAAGGCATTTCGTTGCACTTCAATCACCCTCGTGAAGAGGCGCACTCCGATACCATTGATGTCCAATAGCTTTGATAGTCATGGCTGGATCTACTACTACCTCGTCCATTGAGTATAAACAGAGCAAATGATGGTATAGCAATGAACATCGGGATGATACTAGGAAATATGGTCCGAAGAATCTCGATAGTAGTTCCATGAACAATCCTTTGCGGGATTGGATTTTTTTTATAGTGGAAATGCCATAAAGCGCGAACCAAGATCCATGATACGAAAACCAAAATCAGAATGAGGAAGAAAAAGATATCGTGATGTAAGTCTATTATTCCTTGCATCATAGGTGTTGCTGCGTCTTGAGATCCTAATTGCCATGGTTCCGCTGCATCACAAGGAGCAATTGTGAGGAATAGCCATTCTAGAACAATCATTTTGTTTGGTTCATTCTTTTACTGCTCTGCTCCCCCCAAACAAAAAGAGAGACTTTTTATTGCTCACGGAAATCGCCGGTTTGTCAAACCAAGAAAGAAATGGGATAAATGGGGCGTAACATTCTTTTTATTCTCTTTACGATATTTCGAGTTAGAACGGATTCTCGCTAGCTTAGAGTAAACCGGGACCCCAACGCCCTAAGCACTGAACCTTTCGCCCGGGATTCCTTCTTATTTATTTACTTCTTAATAGGCACAGGAAAGAGGGAGGAAATGCACATACACATAAGCCGCCGAAAGAAAAAACCGCCTGGTAGACAGCCTTACCTGACCAACAACCTATAGAGAGAAAGTGAGGGGGTTGTAGGCTATTACAATCATACTGTTGTAAGGTGATTTGTTTAGCTACTGATGGTCTGACTAAGGAGGCCTGTATTGGGGCTGACTTGTTCGGTAAGCGGTTGATTCAGATAACCCGTCGGTCTTTTCTTTACATACAGCACTTTATTTGAAGCAGTACGGCCCTAATGACAGCTTATGCTGGTATTCCGCGTAAGCGGGAAATGTCACCCATCCCTGTTTCCCTCACGAGAAAAGGGTATCCACGTCCATCCTTTCATCGTCGTATGATGTATGTGAAGGATGAGAAGGCAAATCAACTAGTGAATATTTTTCTTTTCAGCAATAACATGATAAGAGCATCCCTTTCACAAAAACCTACAGATCCCCCCTACCTATCCTGCCACTTCAGAACCTTGCGATCTTTGAGAAGATCATTTACCCTAGAATGTTTTTGTAGATTTCGAAAATTCCATAGTGGATCAAGACGAGAATGAATCCCGGAATCCAGGACATACTCATCCTGGAGCTTCTGCTCTCCTCTGGGAAGGGGTTTTTATAGATAGAGAGGTGAGTCGAGGGTAGCCTCCCGTTTGACCGATTTTCTCGGAGTCGGAGGTTTTCGGAGGAAGATCTCTCATCTGATGACCCTGAACAAGAAGGAGCTGCGAAAGATGTGAGATCAGCAGCAAAAGAAAGAAGAGGAATTGGATGCCCCTTAAAAAAAAACACACAGACACGCGGAACTCAATATTAAACCAACCTATGATTCATTTTATTTAATCAGTTTACTATCAATAAACCATGTGTTAGGTTCTCGTTGCGGGAGATCTTGGAACGTGCCCGTCGTGTGAATGCGCATACAAATAGGGTCACTATTCGCCTACTACTAATAAGGGCGGAGAGTCTATTCTAGATTATATCAGTCGGGTAGGCTGGACTGGGGTTCTGGGAAAATCTCTACGAATTATTCTTTGCAAGAGACATCCCTGGGTTTAGTGATGTCTCCGGCAGCCTTGCTGGGATCTCCAGATCGAATAATTGGTTTACAAGACGCTCTGGCGGGGGTCTTGTCTTCTCAGATTCCAGCTTTTTACTTTTATTAGAATTTCAGTAAACTTTTTTACTTCTAGCATGCAGTACCCGAGTCTTGCCCATTTAAGGAATATGGAGGAGGTATGTGTCCTCTCGGTCGCCTTGACCAACAATCACAGATCAGCCCGACTAACGGTCGCTTTGATCCGTTACAGATCAGCTCGAAAGTACCCCTTTCTATTATGATAGGGGTGGATGGTAGGGCTAGAGCAGGCATAATCGCTTGAACGGCTAGAAGTGGGCCCCATACCATAAAAAAAGATTTCTATTCTATTATATATATATATATGTATATTCGGCGTTTAATGAGATAGTATAGTTATAGACTCAAGCTAGCAAAAAACAAGACTGCGGTCGATAGGGGCATTACTGGTAATTGAATTGCTAAGGTGCTTTCTGAAGCATTCACCATTGGCTAGCGCTCATCTCCAGCTCTGTTTCCAGCCTTTCATTTTAGATACCATTCCCGTATGCCATACCTCTTATTTCATCTTGCTATACGTCCACCATCGGTAGTTGGAAGCAGAACTGAGACTGAATGTAACTGAAGGGGATATAGGTACGATAGGAGGGCACGGTGAAGCAGGTAAGCGAAGGCTCTCTCTCTCGCTCTGTGGTCTTGTGTAAAGCCTTTCCGCCCATTATTCTTATTGATCTTCATTCTAAGTGAGCAAGTCGAAAGCAGTTGAGGTGATAGCAATAGTAAGCAGGGAACCTTCAGCAAAGGACTATCTTAAGGCTAGTAATAAACTTTATTCAGAGGAGTTGGAATGTATAAATGACTTTAGTCAATATACTTTAGAGGTGATCATTCTTTATACATTAGGTTCTGTCTTCAATAGTGTTGAAGAGAGCCCAGCAGTTCGCCTTTCAACTCTAGTAGATCAATTGAATAATATTTATAGAACTCATAGAAGTTGATTGAACCCCAGCTGTCAAGAGTGGTGTAGAAGTTGATTCGGGGGATGTGGTAAAAAGCCATAGTGTGGGTATCTTATTGGTAGAATTCTTATTATCTAGAGAGTTTATTAGTATAACGGATGATTTAAACTTATCTTATAATCCAAGAGTGAATAAGAAGAAAGGTCAGTATTATCTTCATAAATCCTTATTTGTTGTATGTCATTTTGATATTGATCTTTTACCAGTTAGATACAATCTTCCAATGATATGTAAGCGGGATGTAGCACCTGAACTAAAATTGCAGGGAGAGAGCCCTAAATCACTATCCGATCTTATAGGTGGATATTGAACCGGATCATTAGGATCATTTTATTTATATAATCCTCGAAATTGAAACAATTTGAATATTATGTTAGGCCTGTGATGTCATGAACAAATTACAGAGTGAGGCATTTTAGATCAATCAAGATGTATTAAACTATATCAAACAAAATTATGATGAATTAGTGAAATCCGGGCTGCTTATGCCTCAGTTTCTTGCTAAAATCAATATTGCCGAGGCTATCACCCTATTGAGGAAGACTTTCTTTGAACATCAGATAATGATTAAGGATTATAAATACCAAGATATTTGAAAAGAGTTCTTATCGCGTGTTCAACGTTCTCGTTATGAATGTTTTATACTAGATTTAGCATCTGCCTACGAGGGGTATGAATTTGATTTACCTGCATTTGTTGACTTCCGAGGTAGGATTTATCGTGCTGGGGGTATTACATTTCCATGAACGTGATTTAGCAAGAAGTTGAATAGTATTTGCCAAAAGTACTATTCGAAAGTATGACAATGGTATGCATAATGTTAGTAATATCATACAAGCGGCTGCGGGTTTTCATTTGAATAAGTTTTATACTTACGATGATGCGGTATCTTGAACAGGAACTTCATAGAAGATCTAATGAGAGTCTCATTCAGTTCGTTGTGGGAGCCCTATCAGTTCTGAAGTCAAGTGATATGTCTGGAGAAAAGTATTCATATAAGTCCTTCGCAAATACCTATCACACAAGATGCATCAGCAAGTGCATATCAAATAATTAGTTACTTCTTGTTATATCATAATTTTGCTGTGAATACAAATCTTATTCCTAAAGAGGATTCTAAAGATGATAAAAATAAGATTCAAGATGTTTATATCTACTTATTAGATCATCTGAAAGATCACTTGAGGGAGTGAAGAGTTTCACGCAATTTTCGACTCGAAAATGAGTCAAATCCCTCTTCATGCCGTTGGGTCTATGGTAAGACAGCATACAGCATGTCGGATGATCTCTTTCAAAATTGAGGGAATATCTATGAGATAAATGATTGTATTAAACTAGCTTTGAAGATCGAACGTTTCTTTAAAGATAAGTATTCTCAGATTATCAATCTCATGAATTGAATCCGCTCTGTAGGTTGGATAGCATCCACTTTGGGGAGACCCGTCTACTATTCTACGCCTGTATTAACAACAATACAGGACTATATGAAATCGAAAGCTGTCAATATATGGGTATATGATCGTTTCAACAAGAAACGGCGCCAAGTCACACTACGAATTCCCACTCATGAACGTGATCGAAAAAAGACTACAGCTGCCAAATTGAATTCATCAGAAAGATGCCATTTTATATGATAAATAATGCTATAAATGAAGGTATACCTATATATACAGTACACGATAATTTCATAACAACTGCTCATTTTGCTATGAAAGTAGCAGGTTATTATATAGATCTACAGAAGCATCGAATGCAAGCTGTGAGGAAGAATAATTATCTTAGCAGATGGGCGAATATATTCACAGTTTTATTTTGCCAGCATCATATTTATGATATAAATAAGGCTGATGATCATTTCATCGAGTACTTTAAATATAAACCTATTCCTGATTCAGTTTTGACTGATCTGTTTCATCATGTTTTGCCACATCGTAGAAATGATGCGCTTTTTAGGAATAAGGTCTTAGAATTATCCAATTCTTATCAATTCTATATTTCGGGTATGTGCGGTAGCTGTGAACTCTATGATAATAGCTCTATTGAGAAATATGGTAATGATTCTAAAGAAGAATTATGTAAGTTCAAAAACTCCATGTGAAAATGGAATGAATGTCACTCTAATTATAGTTTACACTTATGAGAAGATATATCACGGTAATGGTAAGGTCTAAGAAACAGATGAAAAGATCTTATACAACTTTGGCTTTGAAATCTATTATTCAGAATGT